GCCAGGACGGGATTTCATTTTCATTTTGATTACTTGGAGTGGCACAACTCCAAGTAATTTTACCAGTTCATCTTTGATCTGATCCAGGGATTCACCACTGGGCAGTCCTTTCATGACAACCTTGAACACACGTTCAGTTTTAGTGTCGTAAGTAAAAAATTTGTGCTTCTTCTCAGTAAGATACTTGAGAAGACATTTAAATCCATCCAAGGTTTCAGCCAATACACGGCATTCACCCCGACGTCCAATTTGTAGTGAAAACTTAACTTTCACGAAATTCAAAAGTTCCATGCGAAGAGCATGGAAATCGGTAGTGGTTATCACAATAGGGGGAATCTTTTCCTTCTTGGCATTAAGCCGGGAAAGTTTACTAGAATTTTTCTTGGATGATGGATCATTCTCATCATCTGTGAGCAAATCAAATTGATTACTCAAATTAATTTCTTCAGAAGGGGGGTCAAGAGTTTGCCCCTTTCTTTTGCGTTTAGGCGCCATGGCGGCAGTAAATTTTTTATCCAAATCGACTTCCAAGCAGATTACTATAAGAATCTGAAAGATCGAAGAGGAATTTTCCAAATCGATATCCAAGAAGGATTACCTCGGGTAGGGTCCAAACAAGGATCGAAGAGGAATAAGAGGAGTTGAACAAGGTAGAAAATTTTTACAGGTTGAGCACTGAAAAGTGCGATTATGCGATTATCCAAATCGACTTCCAAGCAGATTACTATAAGAATCTGAAGGATCGAAGAGGAATTTTCCAAATCGATATCCAAGAAGGATTACCTCGGGTAGGGTCCAAACAAGGATCGAAGAGGAATAAGAGGAGTTGAACAAGGTAGAAATTTGTACAGGTTGAGCACTGAAAAGTGCTGTTTAAATTTGTTGTAGCTTTAGGTAGTAGTAACACTTCCTTAAGCAAAAAGCAAATAGATCCGCACGGCAAGAGAGCACGATGCGGACTGAATCCACACACCCCTGATGTTATCTGTCAAACTTTCATAGCGAATCAAAACAAACATAGTGTAGTAATAGAATTTCAACTAGAATAGCCCGCATAAACAATAACCATAAGAGGCGCCTAACCACCAATTCGGGTTATCATCCCAATTTTATGTGGTATGGTCGCACCATCTAAGATATCGTCAGTATATGGTACACGTTTATTAGGGAGGGTACGTTAATCGTTTGCTTGGGACCAATAGGCTACTAAAGTGGTGAGCCAATTTAAAATCGTTAGTTTCGTATTGATTGTTGGTTCAACTGTCGATCGGAAGCAAGTGAGTGCAAGAAAAAGTGTACCGTACTGCGTTGAAGATCACAAGCGAGTGATTGCTGCCTTCAAACGCAAACCCAACTATCCCGTTCGGGATGTCGTGACAAAAACTGCACCTGACAAAATGGGCCGTATGAATAAAAAGAGTTTATTTTACTTTCCCGTGCTTTTCTTACGGGAAAAGTAAAGTAAATGCTTTTATTCATACGACCTAATGTTTCGTGCAGATCCAATAATCTAGCAGGACAACGTTCATTCAAGGTTCAGAAAGCACCAAACCGAAATGAACGACAGAATAGGACGAATTGCACATTTTGAGGCAAATTCGACTCAATTTTGAGTTAATCTCATTGGCAGTGTACTCGTGTACTCCTAGTCTTAAAAGACGTAAGTTTTGACGTAGGATTACGTCTTTCGGCAACATATTGGGGGTTCAATTTCAAAAAAACCAAAATCGACTGCGTTACGAAAACTGGTCAGGTTTTGACCACTTATAACTCTGTGAATAACGGATGGATATTAATTCTAAAAAAGCCAATCGATTGGAATGTCATCTACGAATCTGCTAAAATGAACACTTTATGAATTTTCAAAAGGTCGGTATTGAAAATTGCACGAATGTGCAACTGTGGGTAAAATAATGAAAATTATCGCCGATTGACTGCGAAAAGCGCTTTCCCTAACACAGATTTAAAAATCGAATTCACTCCATTTCACCGTACGATGTATATTCAATCACCGCGTGTGGTGAGTAGTGGTGTCCAGTGGTCATCATCAGCAGCAGCAGTAGTGCTTTCGGCACGTTCTGAGGCTCGAGCTGCAGCCCACTGAGCGATCCATTCGCCGAAGAAGGAGGAAAAATTTGCACCGCTACTGATCGGATTTCAGTTGTTCGTCGTGAGCCGCTGTGGGTCATCTATGCCAAGCGCGTCACCCTTCCAAACATCATCTGTGTTGAACACCTTAATAGCTCAGCATTAATCACGACAAAATGGTCCTTTTCAGGACCACCATAAATTTGTTACAGCGTATTTTTTGGACATTTTTCAATTTCATCAATCGGATGTCAGTTCCCATAAGTATAAATCTAACATACCATTTTTTATCATGGCAAAATTGGGGGTGCAATTTCAAAAATCAAAGTCGGTCGCAGCATGGAAGTGGTCTGGTTTTGATCCAGAGATGATGGATTTTGATTCTCAATACGCCAATCGAAAGGACATTTTTCTACGAATCTGCTAAAGTTAAGACTATCAATTTTCAAAAGATCTTTGCACGCATTTTCAACTGTCGCTATGATAATTAAAACTATCACCGATTGACTGCGAAAAGTTCTTTCTCTAGCACAGATTTCAAAATCGAAATCACTCCGGTCTCACCGAACGGTGTTTATTCAATCACTGCGTGTGGTAAGTGGTGGTGTCCAATGGTCATCATCAGCAGCAGCCGAAGTGCTTTCGGCGCCTGCGTTGTAGATTGTTCTCGACGAAAGGCTGCCCGCAAGCGCGAGCTGCAGCCCATTGAGCGGTCCATTCGCCGAAGAAGGAGGAATAAGTTGCACCGCTACTGATCGGATTTCAGTTGCTCGTCGTGAGCCATCTATGCCAAGCGCGTCACCGTTTCAAACAACATACAGCTCGTCAGACTTATCTGTGTAAAACACCTTAATAGCTCAATATTACTCACCAGTATAAACAATAACCATAAGAAGTGCCTAACCACCAATTCGTGATATCATCCCAACTTTATGTGGTATAGTCGTACCGTCTATAATATCGTTAGTGTATGGTACCCGTTTATTAGGGTAACCATCAAGTGGTCACCAAACTGTTTGCCAATCGATCCAGGTGCAAGGTATGAGCACCGCTGTCATCTCCAAGAACTCGAGCAAAGAATTCCACAGCATTGTTCTTGGATTCCAAGCTTTCAACCCATCGTTCCTTTTCAGGACTAAAAACTACTGATAAAAGAGTTCAAGTAAGAGCTTGTATCCAAGATACATCGTCCAGGTTTGGCTACATGTACACCAACAGAGCACCTCAAAAACAACTCTCAAACTGCTTCCGAATTTCGACCTTTCGAATTTTTTTCACTGATAATGTGCTAAGAAATCAATTTGATATTTCCTATACTTTTGCTGTGACATCAATACTTCCTTTCGTAATTCTACGTCAAATCTACGGTCGTGTCTTGGATGCAACCTCTAGCTTTTTTTCTATTTTTGAAGCAGATTGTTGAGGAAAATTTTACTCCGTTTCTACTATTTTGATAAAAATCCCACTCAACTTTGAGTTAGTCTCATCGGCCGTATACGACGTCTTACAACCGTCACATCCCCAGACGATCTGGAGTAAAACGTATAGGTAAGTTATTTTATAACCTCGCAACTGGTCGTATCTTTCTGTCGATAGTCATAGCAAGCAAGCACGCAATTTACTAATTAGGGCCTAAAGAATTTATCAATTTTCAGCAGTTAACTAATGATAAATTAATATGATGTTTATACCAAACAATTTTACATCCATTCTGAATCAAAGGGTGTGAAAAGAATTTACATCCATCAATAAATGGCCAAGTTATAAGCGTTTAAAACCTAACACTATTTCGTTACACAATTTTTTGATTTGCACCCCTGTAAAGTCCACGTAGTCGTACGTAGAAACAATATTTATTATAATAAACCTGCACATCTATCATAAATTAAATAACAATTGCTCGTATATTAAGTATTGATTTTCCTGGTACTCCTATCGAATTCTCGGGCTTTTCCCGGTATTGCGGTAATTTTTAAATTCCTTGTTTTTTCCCCCGGTTTTACAGGTTTTCCAGGTTTGCTTGTCACCCTTTATTTGGGTGGAAATAACCGAATAATTAGTGCATTTGTTGGCTACTTGTGCTACCATAAAGCACCGAAATCCGGTCCCTTAATCCAAAAATTCGGACACTTGTTAAAGTTGATGATCATTGCCTACCATGCTAAAAATTGCACAAAAATATTATCACGATCTCTAAGTATTGTTCAGAATATTTACACATATTTATTAACACTTTGAACACGATGCCTCTGGTAAGATGTGTAACGACAAATTGGCAATGTTTGAAAAATCATTGCTCAGCAATTTATGTATAGATTTTAAATCTATTTACATCGAATCAATTTCAAAAGATTTGAAATTCATCAATAAATGGCTGAGCAATGATTTTTCAAACATTTTCCGTCACACATTAAAAAAGTGTCTAGATTAACAAATCAGTCAAATTCAGTGCATTGCGGTAGTTTCAAATTCAGCATTCAGATAGACTTGTCTTGACTGACTAAATACTCTAATTTTTATAATTTTCCTTGTGAGATTACAGTTTTTTTAGTAAACTTAAATTCCGCCATTTTCAACAACTTGACAAATCTCTGGTCAAATCGGACCAAATGGTTAAAAAATTTAATGATCAAAAAAGCATGAACATAAAAGGTCAACTTTGAATAACAACAGGTGCCATAAACTGCAGTAAACAAAGATTTCTAAGGATTGCAGATCCTAAAAGGTCTTCTTATTATAGAAACATCAATTCACCAATAAAATCACAATTGGTATACGCCCTTCACGGGCTAAGGACCCGTCAATTCCCTTCATTTCCGTGTGTCTCAATCAGTTTTTCTGCAAGGTGTCAAACTGAATGACACCTTCCACGCAGTATCATTAAAAGCAACCCAAATCCGCCGAAAACTTACTCATTTGCACCAATCAATTACTGCGCTGGCTTTGGAATGACGTGTTGGAATGGATAGTAGTAACACTTACTTCTGCCTGAAATTAAAAAAAAGGGAAAAAATGGGAAAATTAATTTCATCTGACATTGAAGCCGGGCAGTGGATATCAATTTACTGAAACAGAGAAATCGCCATAAAAAAAAAAAAACTATGTGAAACTGGTTGGTGTCAAAACGCGTCGCGTTGTAGTCGTGTGCTGTCTGTCGTCATCACCAACTGAGAGAGAGAGAGGGCGAGGAAGCTTTAAAGATATCGATTTTCTGTCCACTTTTTTGAACTGCCGTTCGAACGGCAGCATGTGGGGGTGGACATCCGTGAGTTCTGGTGAGTAGTGATTTTTATCCTGCCAGACGAGACGCAAGTGCTGTAACGGATCATTTGTTTTATTTGGCGTGAACAATATATTGAATCAGTCAAAGGCAAGGGTGGTATGCACGACGAACAAACATCCGATAAAAGTTACTCAATCAAGTGAGGGTCAGTTGGTATACGGATGTAAGATATCAGCTGCATTTTCTATTTTACTTCCGCAGAAAAATTCCGACGAGTTTCTTATAAAATCGGGAACTTTCCTTTCCGGTTTGTTCCAACATCTGAACATCTCTGCAGCATCTCGAGTCATATTACCTGTTTTTTCAACTTCCCTTTGATAATTTCCAATATTTCTCAATTGGGAGATATTGGGGGCAATTGGGTGGATTTAATCAAAGGTTCTTTGTGTGTCTCTATTAACGGTAGAATTCGTTTTTCCAGGCAGTCTTGCTTGTACACCTTCCAGTCCATCGTCTTATTTGGGACGATAACCAGTTGTAACCCCCTTGCCAGATTATGAGTTTCCGCGTGTTTCTAACTTCTTTAGTCATTACCATTATATTGCTAGCAGCACAACTTTGTCATAAACACTCACTTTCAAAACTACGTAGAAAACATCGGAAACATGCGGCTGCAAATCCGTTTGAATCTGCTAATCCATAGATGCATTAACCACTAGGTAAACATCCAATCTGCAACAGGATAAAGTGGAACGTAGATCTAAAGAAAAACCTAAACCAAGTAACCAGTAAACCATTCACATCAGCCAGCCATGCCACCTTTCGCCACAGAACAGAATGGTGCTGCGGTAGGTGTTGATTTATTGCTTATTGATTTCCGATTCCTGGTGGAGGAGTTTCATCCTTCAGATCGAACGGAGCAAGTGCGCAAGTGCAGATCGATTTTTTATGATGGTGAATTAATGATCCATTCCTTGCTATTTATTGGCGTTTGGCGTTGAGGTCTGCTAGTGGCTCTAATTGATCGTCAACAGGTCCGACCAACATTTACACGGAGAGAAAGGCATGACGTGTTTTTCAGCTTAGAATCACCTGGGCCCGTTCCTAAAGGAGAGAAGGAGCAACGTGTGGAAAAGGTCGCCTGCTTAATCGATAATCGAATGTGCACAGGTCTGCAGGTTCCTCCCCGGAGACCGAAACCCTCCCGGCAACTCTATAAAAAGGTCGTAAAAAAGTTATTCCTTATTGACAACCAATTGATATATTCACTGCCGGGAAAGGTCACATAAAGAATCGCATTTTGAGGCCTACTCCACCGACCGTCGGCAGTAGCCACCAATCGATTATGCTGAAGAAGCGAACCGGGCGAAACTAGTCACCGATCGCAGTTTTGCAAGGCGGGCGACTCATAAAAATAAGTCGAATTCCAGCTGTCATTAGTTCCTCGGTTTTATGACCTCCTCCCGTTTTTTGTTGTTGTTCAAACCCGCGGCGCTGCTGTTGGTAAGTTTACGCAATTTGCCATTCAACAGGACAGGTTCAATGTCTCTATGCTGCTTGCTAGCTTTGTAGGTGCTGTCGCTGTCAAAGTGCGGGCACCGGGTCACGCAACTGTACAAGTTGGTTGTTGTTTTTCATATGGGTTGAAGTAATAGAGAAAAGTTTTCGGTTCGTGCGCATTCCTATCGGTTGTTGGATGGTTATCGTGCGATTGGCGGTTGCATTATGACAGCAAAATAGTACGAAACAATTTGAACGAACCAGTTGATAGTGCAATTTGCTCTGTTTATCGATGGATGATGAATATAAAATGTGCGACTTGCCTTTCCGGTCTCGTTTGCAAAACAAATCAATCAATACTGGTGGGTAAAGTTGTAATATTACGATACTATTTCCTGAAGAAATCTGAAGTTTTATAACTAAATTCATTAAAACAAAATTGAACAACTTAAAATTTTGGTACAACTAAAAAAAGCCCTCCGAAAAAGTCTTCATCTACTAAAAGTAACCCTTCAAAATTACTTAGCTGATTGGGTACCTCATTTGCAATCCACACAAAGGTTCACCACAAAATGACCACGCCACCACATGTGCTTCTACCAAACAACCTTTTCCCAAATCTCTGACGGCACTCAAAATCTCAGCTCAAACTCACCCATGGAGGGAACGAAAAACAAACAGATTAAGTGCTCAATTATCGATAATCCCAAAAACATATTGGTGTTAATTTTCTGGTTCCTCACTCTACACACCACCAGGCCAGACAGCATCTGCAGCAGTGTGAAGAGGGTGTTAAACATTCAATAAAAATAAAACACTTCCTTCCTGCTCTGCTCTGCTCCCGAGATCCCGTTGCTATATCGACTGGATGCTGCTACAGCAACGCATCCTTGGGGTTGAACCCCTCTTCATTCTCTTTCTGTAGTGGAATAGCAGAAAATTGACTCCCTAGTAGTCGTCGGGAAGCTTGCACATCGTCCGTATAGAATGGTAGGTCATCATCGGAACGACACCAAAGGGATGAAAGAAAATTGAAAATCATTGCCGTTTTGGCTAGGGAAAATCAAGGACCCATCGTCTAGGAAAGGAGGGGGTGGATTTTCTGGCACGCGCTCAACGTTCACTACATACGGTTGGTGTCGGTTCCGGAAAGATAAACTGACACAACAGCAGAGGGGCAAATGTTTTTCCACCCCTGAAGATTTATCTCGATTGCCACCCCCGAGCTTGCACGGGAAACAGTTCATGAATTGTAGATCGGAGTTTAAGTGGAGTCAATTTAATCAAGAATCATCAGCTAAGACTAGGGAAACGCTCAATAAAACTAAGCACTTGAATATATCAACACTTTAAAGCTTAAGCCATGTTCGGACTAGGGAGTTGTAACGTGTTATGAGTGGTTTTCGTGATACAAGAACTGTCGCTCATGCCAAGTCCATCCCGTAGCCGAGCAAAACGCGTTTTTGAGTTTGCTTTGTACTGTTACTTCTTTGTTACTACCGTTGAGATTAAATATAATTAATCGCAGTGCGAGTACAATTTAAAAAAATTATTTTCAGTATTTATATGAAGAACTTCATATTAAAACTTCATGGTTTGATTTAGGAAGTTTTGGGAACTTTGTTTCACCCAGATGTTTACAAAAAAATTGTACAACAGGTTCAAAGTCTTTCCTGAATTTTAGAGGAGGTCATGAGATTAGAGGTGTGCGCCGTTTGTTGTTCTACGAATTCATTCGTTGTTTTGTACAACAAAATAGATTCGTACATTTTATGTTACATGTTATCCTAGGGCATCTGCTGGTTCCAGAATGAGCTCCCCTATGGCATTGTTTTGTGTAAAAATGTGATTGCATCCTACTATAGGTTCCCCCCGGGGGCATTCCAGTGACTCTGGAAAGGTCAATGTGGTCAATGGTCCACTTAAATTCTATAGAAAGCATATTCATGAAAATCCATGAAGAAAGAGCTGTCGCACGGCACGTTTTTGAGTTAAAACGAAATTGTCCCCTGCTATAGGTTCTATCGGGGCATGCCAGTGGTTCCGAGAGCGGCCAATCTGGTCGCTGATCCATTTGAAGTTTAATGAATGCCTATTCATGAAAAACCATGAAGAATGAGCTGTCGCACGGCATGTTTTGGTGTAAAATTGCAATTGTCCTCTGCTCCAGGTTCCCCCTGGGGCATACCGGAGGTTACAAGAGCGGCTATAGAAAGAATATTCATGAAAATCCATGAAGAAAGAGCTGTCGCACGGCACGTTTTTGAGTTAAAACGAAATTGTCCTCTGCTACAGGTTCTCTCGGGGCATTTCCGTGGTTCCGAGAGCGGCAATGTGGTAAATGATTCACTTTAAGTCTAAAGAAAGAATATTCATGAAAATCTATGAAGAAAGAGCTGTCGCACGGCATGTTTTTGAGTCAAAACGCAATTGCCCTCTACTACAGGTTCCCCCGGGGGTATCCCTTGATTCCGAGAGCTGCCAATGTGGTCGCTGATCCATTTGAAGTTTAATGAATGCCTGTTCATGAAAAACCATGAAGAATGAGCTGTCACACGACATGTTTTGGTGTAAAAATGCAATTGTCCTCTGCTCCAGGTTCCCCCCGGGGGCATACTGGAGGTCCCGAGAGCGGCCAATGTGGTCACTAATCCATTTAATGTCTATTAAAAGCCTATTCGTGAAAAAGCTTGCAGAAAAAGCTGTCGCACGGCATGAATTGGTGTAAAAACGCAATTGACCCCTGCTAGAGGATCCCTCGGGGGTATCCCGTGATTCCAAGAGCGGCCAATGTGGTCAATGATTCATTTGAAGTTTATGGAAAGCCTATTCTTGAAAAAACCATGAAGAATGAGCTGTCGCACGGCATGTTTTGGTGTAAAAATGCAATTGTCATCTGCTCCAGGTTCCCCCGGGGGCATACCGGAGGTCCCGAGAGCGGCCAATGTGGTAAATGATTCACTTTTAGTCTATAGAAAGAATATTCATGAAAATCCATGAAGAAAGAGCTGTCGCACGGCACGTTTTTGAGTTAAAACGAAATTGTCCCCTGCTACAGGTTCTCTCGGGGCATTTTCGTGGTTCCGAGAGCGGCCAATGTGGTAAATGATTCACTTTAAGTCTAAAGAAAGAATATTCATGAAAATCTATGAAGAATGAGCTGTCGCACGGCATGTTTTTGAGTCAAAACGCAAATGCCCCCTACTACAGGTT